ATTTTGCCAATTAGGCATATGAATAGTAGTCTCTGTACCATACACTTTGATATTATCAAGTAGGTATGCGCTTGCACGAAAGATTCTACATGTGCAATTATGGTTGCGTAAAACCAAAGCTGCACCTTTCTTATTGGTTGGCAACTTTACAAGTCATTTTACTCATTACCATATTTATCACCACAATCATGGTGGCAATCATAGAGGGTGCGGCAGAACAGACCAGTTGTGGTAATTTCGTGTCAACACAGAAGATTCTACAAATTCATTCTAAAGGAATTATCATATAAAACAATAAAATTACAACGACTGGGCCAGACTACCTGGTATCCAACATCATTTAATAAAAAAAAATACTTGTCTGTTTGTTTCTGAAAACAAAGTTTTGTTTCATTAATATACATTATCAAACAAACTTTTCCTAAAATATTTTAAATTATACATATTGGTTTCTATCATTCACATTACAAGGCCTTTAATTGAGCAAAATACAGTATCTGCCCCTCCCAACTGTACGTACAAGATATAAAACTCAATATTTGCAATATTAAATAAATCAAAAAGCTTGCCTGTCATTTGTACCCTGGTAACTAAGAAGTAACCACTTGGTGGTTATAAGGAATTCAGCAAACCACATGGTGTGTAGGATATCCTGTTTAGTGTACTTGATACACGCAAACCACAACTAAAAATATCCATTTTTAATAGCTAACAGATATTGTAATGAAATACTATCATTGTACTGTGTGTTTGAGTGACTGCTACTCCACTTGATGAGCCACTTTGTATTTATGATGCCATTATACTCATGATGTACTTGGGGGGGGGGAATGATTCTGATGTCGTAAAAGAAATTAAAAAGGAAATTTATTGAATAAAGGAGGTTCAGTTGGAATTAAAAATGTTATGTCATGTTCATCTTAGTTTCATTATTATGAGTTTGTGTCATCAGAATACTGAAAATAAAAAATAGGGTCTTTGGACAAAATTTTGAGATACTAGAGTTTAAAATGTCATGGAAAATGGTCAAAACTCGCCTTATTACACTGGTTTTTATGGTGAGATTATTTCTTCATATCTCAAAATTATTATATATATATATATTATTATTGACGTGAGTGCTAATATCCTAACATTTCAAAAAATATATAATTTAGTATTTCCAGGGATATGATTATAAACAATGGAAGGTTATCTCCCATAATGCATTGCATATATTTGCTGTAACATGCTCAGTGGCGAAAAATTTGAATTTGCCTAAATTCACTACAGATGGATGGATTGAACGATAAAATGATGAATGAACAAGTAAATGAATAAATAAAAATAAATAAATGAAAATACACGGCAGATGGGCGGATGGTCAATCTGATTAAAATCTGATGTGGTGTAC